TCTTGGCATTTACATTCTAGTCCTTGTTACTGTGTCTAAGCAGCACTAGGTTTTTTATTTTTCAGCTGACTGACATTGTACTCCACACAGCCCTGTGTTTGAAGAGATGCTCGTATTTCTCTACTCTCTTTTGTGGTAGGTTTTACACCCTCTTTGAGTGCACTGGTGACTTTGAAGTCTATGGATTGTGCTGTTTCAGGCCAAAAGGCCTGAAGCAGCATGTGTAAAATTTTCCTAAAATGTTACCTCTGCCTGTCTAACATACAAGCAGCTTTTCTGTGCCTAGGAGGTAATCATAAGGATGATCAAATCTCATGGTGTGTGGGCTTCTCCCTTATGCCCTTGGAAGCAATCCCCCAGACAGACATGCCAGCTGGGTGGCTTGCTCACAAATCTAAGCTTACTCACCTTCATGTCAGACGGTCACAGCTGTGAGCACCACCATCTGGGCTGTAGCCTCTGTATATAAGATGAGGCTGATTTCAGATGAGCTGTGGAAATGGCCTAGCCATAGCATCATTTAGAAATCATCTGCTGGGTTGGGGAAAACCCACACTATGCTCTCTTTATGTTGTGAGGAGGTATGAGAAAATGTGCAGAGCCAAACCACGCTCTCTGCTCTGGCCTGGAGCAAGAGAGGAGGTATGAGCCAGTCCAGAGTGCATGGCACATTTTCTGTCCTCTGCACTGGGAGAAAAAAAGCAAAGTCTGCTGGAAAGTTTGCCCCTACCACAGGTTGTCCTGTGTTTGACAGAGGGCAGGCAGCATAAGTTAGGCTGGTTTCCCATCTCCTCAACTGCTGGCTTTTCTCTGCCTATGCTTCTTATCCAACCCAGTTCCTAGGGTAATTGTGTCCTTTGGGGGCTAGTGGAGGTTTAGTCCTTCTTCTTTCCTCATCTTTGATCATGATATTGCACTTGGCACTGGAGGGACTGAAAGTGAAGAACAATGTAATTGTGCCTGGTATTTCAGGGGTGCTTAGAGATATTCAACACTGCGTTGAATATTTCAATATGCAATGAGGAGGAGGAAAATTTTGTTTAATGTTGCCAGGGAAGGAGTCCTATCTCTCTTCTTAAGGTCTTTTGATACCTCCTTTAGCTCCCTACAGGGTTTACAGGGTAGGACCAAGGCTCTGCCCCAGCCATGTGGCTCTCCAGGGATATATTTTGTCATTGGAAGTGTTAAAACTCCCTTCCATCCTTGTCCTGATCAAAGACAAAGAATGACAGACTATCATTTACAATAAACGGTTGCACTGCCTAAGTGTGAAGAGTGCTGTGAAGGAAACTCAAACCTGTTGGATAAAAATGCTGCTGACTGAGTCTGAGGGCATTTGCTGGAGTGAGAACTGTGTTCAGATGAAGCTGTGATTGCAGACTAATTGGATGCTGATCCTTGCTGCTGGCAGGGTTATAACCTTTTGTGTCTCTGACCTATGCCAGTGCTCCAGCATGTCATACCTTTGTTACTGGTACCAGGATAGCAAATAAAGACTACTTTCTTGTCATTAGGGCTGAGTGACACATCATCATTACCCTGGAGCAGGAGGAAGCCTGCCTCTTTGTGTCAGTCTCCGTGCTAGGGAATAGGGTTGGTTGCTCCCAGTGCAGTCCTCACTACTGTGATTCTCCTAAGTAGAGCTTTGGTCTCTCAGCTTAAACGTTGAGCATCTATGCTAGTTGCAGGACAGAAGCTCCTTTCTAAAGGTTTCTATCTTTATGCCATGAGCACTAGAACAGTTTTGACCCACTGTTAGCTGCGGAGACAACTAAAAAAATTAGATATTGGGGATGAGAGGCAAGAACCAAACTAGTTTGGTACAGATGGGAAGAATGGCCTTCTGTGTGGTGTATTTGATGCTTTATATGCATTTTGCTGTATTGTGGGAATGTGCAGGGATGGGGTGTTTCAGAATGTGTTTCTGAAATGGCAGCTGAAGACATTGCAGTGACAGTGGTGGAGGACAGTGCTACTCAGTAATGATCAAGGTACACCATGTCAAATAAAGAGAAGAAAAATAATTTTGGGAAACTCAGTAATAAAAATAATAAAAATGGCTTCATTTTGAAAAGCAAAATATTGTCCCTCTCCAAATACTCCAAAGGCTTTTTCAAGTGCGGGATGTAGCTCTGCCATCACAGCTGCTTTGGATAGAAGTTACTCAGGGGGCTGGACTAGCAATAGCCCAAGCGGGTCCTTTGGCCAGCACTGCCTGCCGAGTCTTGAAGGCTTTGCAGTGCCAGAATGCAAGTTCTTCAGAGTGGCTGTATGCAGCAATCAGACCTACCTCCAGGACATGATCTACAGTGTACTTTCTAGACCACAGATTACCTCATCTTTAGATTGTAAATTTTGTAGGAAAAATTGATAAACTTGCAAGAGCCACAGTCTTGACAGAGATTTCCAGGTACTTCTAACATGATTCCTCTGAGGGAGTGGCTGCAGGCTTAGGTCTCCAAGAATATACTAAGAGTCCAACACATATAAGCACTTCAGCTCTTATTGTGAGCAGTCCCTTGCCCCAAGTTATCAAGCTCAAGCCGTTAGCAACAAGCACTTGCAGGGCCCTTACTTACCATTATAGCGTATTGATATTAAAATTGTACTTGGTTTGGGGTTTAATTTCTGCACATAATATTCTTTCTGTGTCTTATATGTGCAATCATAAATGAGGAGTTGGGTTATTCAACTCCCAAAAAGGTTTGTAGCTTTGAGCTGTGACAAAGGGTCTCTGACTGCTAAAGCAAAGGCAATAGGAAAGTCTGGCTAGAGTTGCAGCCCTGACAATGTGGGCAAGGACTACCATGATAGTTCCCTAAATTCTTACAACTGTGGATTTAAGCACGTTATAGCTGTGTATTTACAGCGGACATATTTACAGCTATATATTTACAGGTGGCTCCTAGCATAGGGTGCAAAGGGGCACCCATCGGAATTTAACTCTGCATTTTTCATAGCTCACGTTTCCAGTAATATTTCCCAGAAAATTATGGTATCTATGACAGTTTGTTGGCTTTGAAGTTTCAAGTAATGGGATTCAAAAGTTTCTCTAAGTGAAATTCAGCTTAGCAAGAAAGATGCAAAGTTTACTTTTCATGATATCACCCAAAGCAAAATTTTTGGGTTTTTTTTGGTGGAATTTTAATGGAAATTTGACTTGGAACACAGAGTTTGAGATGATTTGGCAAGGGAATATCAAAACCATGGTAAGTGTCTTTAAAGAGTGAAAAAAAAAAAAGCCAGAAAACCACAACTCCCAGTTGCTTTCAGATTTAGGTAGTGCATCCCTCCTAGCTCCCTGTTGCAGTAGGCTCGGAGAGAACCTGAGGGTACTTCTTCAGTTTTCCTTTCTAACAGTCCACATCCCTTAACTGCACTTTTTTCTTAGCCTGGATTCTTCAGTGTTTTACATCCTGGAAATCTAGGGGATGGTAAGATCTGGTAGGGATTTGTAATTCGTTCCTACGTAATGTCATTACCTCTTTTTTTTTGCTCATGGATACATAAAGGCTGATAATTTCTGTAGTTAGTGGAATGACTGAGAATGAGGATTTTGTTCTCTCTTGTCTAGTAAATTCTGCAAAACATGTAGGTATTACTTTTAATATTTTAAACCATCGTAGCCACATCATGGGAGCTGTCTGGTATTAGAAGAAGTTTCCAAAGGGTTGTTAAAATGAAGGAAAAAGTACCTTCCAAAAACAAACACCACTTTAAACAAACACACTTCATCTAATAAAGCTGTGAAATTTCAAATGACATTAGTATAATTATGATTTCTTGCTATAAAAGTGTATAGATTTGTCTCTCTTTGGTTTTTTTTTTTACACTATAAAGATTAGTTTACTGTCTATGGACTGAATCCTTCTTGCATTACACATGATTAAATTTGTGGGGCCCAATGGCCAGAAAGAAAGACCCAGAAAGGCATTAAAATAGTTTAGCCCATTCAGTTGCAAAGTCATCTTACACACAGTTTCCCCCTAAATGGTTTTGTGTATATTATTGCCCAATATGAATCTGCAGAATATCTCCTGGTCTGGAATCTTGCCCTCTTAGAGCAGTCAGGTGTTGTCCTGCAGCCTTGCTTAGTGGTTGGTACATGCATGTGTTAGGATCTGTGTACTGTGCTGCTTTCCTAGGCAACAATTTTCAAATTTATTTTCACAATTCATTTATATACTTTGTATGTTTTCAGAATCAGTTTTCATCTGTTTGTTCATTTTTTTTAAGCTACCGACATAATTTGCAAAGTTATCCATACTGTATGATCACTAAAGGAAAACAGACTTAAGCTTACTTTATCAATAATGTTTAAAGACAATGAAAAGTACTGGTCAGATTATGCAGGTGTGGAGCTATTTTCATAATAAATGAACTAGTTTTAATGTCTAGATAAATAATTGAATACCTGTAAACTAACCCTGTGCATCCAACTAGTCCAGCTTGCCAAGGATCACCATCAAAGTTTTAAATCTCTTTAAAAGTTTAACTTCAGAACACAGCTGTTCGGTCTGTAATTTCTGTTGTACTATTAGAAATGGAAAGGGGCTGTGAAGCCTGCCGACTCAGCTTTCCCACTGGTGTTTCTCTTTTTCTGCAGAATCAAGATTGTACAGCAGAGCATTTCTGTTCCCTTTTACATGTGGTTCTTGTTAAAAAAAAAATACTATGAAGTTTAGCTGTAGTAAAATTATTTATTTGATCTTTTCTTAAACTGGTGCAAAAAGTAAATATGTTTACTGTGTCTCTTTCCATTCAGTGTATTTCCTTTTTTAAGCTCCATTTGTGTTCAACAAGACAGCCTCTTTCTCCAAGATTAACATTTCTTATGATTGTTCCTGACAGAGGATTTACTTTCAGAGGCCCTGCTAAGGATAACCAAAAAAGGGCATGTAGCAAGACAGTTTTGGCAGCTTGCACGAATTTTCAAAGCTTTTTAGGTCTTGGTTTTCTGATGAGTGGCTTCCTGAGCATGCCTAGGGAATGACAGGCATCTCTGCAGGCAGGCTGCACCTACCTTGGCTTGTGCCTAGTCATTGGCTGTCTATTAGAATAAATTGAGGACAATGCATACCGCTGCCTGCCAATTGTAAACATAAGGGATATGTATTCACTTAGCATTGACTTTTGGGAGGGGCCAAGGAAAAGCTGTAGTTTTATTGAATAGTGTGTGAGGCTGCTGGTGTCTTTCTTGCTGCGCTCCTGCCCAAGTAGCAGTTATTCATTTCCTTCCTGCTAGTTGAATACTTTTCAGCCAGAGGTAAGGACTTACAATATGTATTTGTTTGGGAGTGATCCAGTCTGACTGCATTTGCGTTACGGCTACAGATTAAGCAGCATGTGAAATCTAACGGGCTGTGGAAATACTGTGAATGTGTCAGAAACTATTTTTGCTCTCCTCCTCTCTCTGTGCCTCACCCCTCACCCCCTTTCCAGATGTTCGTGGTGAACTAAGGGAGATTGTGCCAGGTGGGTGGAGGGGATGCCTGCTTGTCCACCGCAGCAGACCTGAATGAGGTGATGCAGGGCAGGATCTGTGCTGGTCCTGCCACTCCATTTTTAATCCTTCTGTGGGCTTGTTAGTGGAGCAATAACCTCTTGTTTCCACCCCCCCCCCCCCCCCCTTTTTTTTTTTTTTTAAAGGAATAGCAATAAGACTTTTTAGTGCATCAAGGTGTGCTGAATTGCTTTTAATTTTGCATCTTAATACCTGAGCTTTCAGGGCAGCTTGACTACAAAGGCAGTCTCCAGGCGTAACTGATACAGAGATAGTAAAGCTCTGGTTAATGTAAGTGATCTGATACTTGCTGAAGCAGATGTCCCCTGTGGCAGCCTTTCACAGAAGTATTGTTGACAACAGATGGCATCCGATTTTGTTTTCAGCCTTCAACATGTGGAACAGCATATTGCCAGAACGTTTTTGTGAAGTTGTCTTTCCTGTTAAGAGGGGGAGAAAAATGTGCTTGGGTGCGATTGGAACTCTTAAAAGTCTGATTCTGCACTTGTGTCAGAGTGGTCCCAGGGAGAGCTAGTGAGCAGGCTCCCCTTCCCAGCTCCTTTGACATGCTCAGACAGTTGGAAAGCATTGTTCAAGGTTGTCGGCTGATAGCATGACATTTTGCATAGCAGGAAATTTCTCAAAGAAAGAGCTGGGAAAAGGAAGGGAGGGAGGAAGTTAACTGCAGATGAATACTTGATAGCAGCAGACATTGACCAAACTGCTAATCTCTGGCCAGATCTGCAGAAATAGAATAGATTTTTTTCTTATGTCATATATAGTTTAGAAGAATGAAAACATAACTCTTTTAAAATTACTTTTTGTGGAGTATTTGTTTTCAGAGGAATATTTATTTTCAGAGTATGCAGTTTTTGTGCAATTTTGCCTGAGAAGGCTTCTCTTGCTAAAAGGTGGGCAGGAGAACAGTTTGCGAAAAAAACACATTCCCTCCTTGGAAGCAGCTCAAAGGAAATAAGGAGCCAGATTTTTGCCTTTTTTTTTTGATTGGTTTGTTTGGAGGTTTTTTGTTTGTTTGTTTGGTTTTGGGTTTGGGTTTTGTTTGTTTGTTTGTTTTGTTTTTATGACAACTGCCTATTTACTATGATTTGTCTATTTTAGATACCATACTGTGAAAGATTGGTACTTGTGTGATTTGCCGTCAAGGAACCCTGGGACCCTGCCTCCATTCTTTCTCTGTCTCATTAAGTGTAGCTGTAGTTTCTCAGTAAGCATATGCATCAGCAGCATGTCTTTCATCTTCTTCTCCTGCCACTGAGACAGAATGGGATCCTAAAATGACACACACCAAAACCGATGGAATGGACTCTTGTAACATAAATTACAAATGGAGGGAAACTTTAAGTAGTCCATTTGCTTAATTAAACTGCCTTTAAGGTAAGGCAGGGATGAACTTTTCTCAATATATTTGAGGAAAGTATAGGTCTGCCTTTTTTAGGGAAGCTTTTTTGATAGGTGCTTATCTTAGTCAATAAAACCTGCATACCTTAATGCAGTATCTAAATCATAATGGCAGGGAAGAAATACCAGATAAGATATCTGTGAACAAGAGACTCAATTGAAATAATTTGTATTTTCTGAAAACTCTTCTTTATTACCACTTACAATGACAAGAGGATCAATCCACAGCCTTCATTCACACAATTAGTCCTGGTGAAATCAATACCATCATTAATAGATTCAGGGTCTGATGCAAGGGTAATCCTGTGTACTCTAAATACACACTGACAGTGACGTAAGCGATGTATTAGAAGAATAAGGGATTTTCCACAGTTATTACTTCTCACAGCATTATTCTGACATGGAGCAGCCTGAGAAAGGGTAATTTCCCTTGTGCTTTTATTTTTTGTCCAACATCAATACACATAATGGAATAGTGACACTGAAAGCTATGTTATTTGAAACAAAAAGGAAGGCATATGAGTTCCTCTGGCTGTCATTAGAGGGAAAATTGAAGTGCATTAAGATGCTTTCTTATTCTTCAGTGTCATTCATGTGGCATGCCAGTCAGCATCTCAGTCCCATACAGGTTTAGGGCACAGTGCTACTTGTTCCAGGTGGTGAGACTAGAAAGATAGGGCAAGGCCTGTGGGATGTCCTTCATTCAGGACAAATAGAACATGAATGCCCTGGTACTGTTTAAAATACTCTGATTTCTCAGTAGTTGCTTACATGAGACCTATTCTGTGGGCTGCCTGAATTTTAATTTGTATTAAAGATCCATGGAGCTGTTAACCCCTATCTGCCAAGGGTACAGTTTAGTATATTTGATTACTGTATGTGAACAAAGGACAGGAGAGAGCCATATATACCTGAGAGGGCCAAGAGAGCAGCATTAATCTGCAGGGCTTGTCTGGACTCTCCTGGGTATGGAAGAAAACACCCAAAAAGGCAACAGGGCAGAATGAGAAATGCAGTCCTGTGAATCTTTTGTTGCCTTTGAGAGGAGCTTCTTAGGGAGTTTGCAGGATCGGGCTCCAGGGGTACAAAGCCTGAGGCATGCAGGCCTGTGACTGCAAAGAGTGGGAGTCTGCCTTCAAAGAAAGCTTTTATTCTTTAAAAATTGTCTCCTCATAGTAACTACCCCCTGGCAGCTTATAGCAAGAAAGCTGCTGTCTTACTAGAGCGTCCAGAAATAATGCATGTTTAGGGGATGGTTTGATGGTTTTGTTCATAGCTCCTGAGGGGTTAAATGGATGAAAACAGATTTGGGGGGGCAACTGTACCAAGTCACCTAACATATGTGTGTAGGTACTTACTCTTGGGGTGCTGATTCTTGTTGGGAAGCTGTAGCTCATCCATGCCTCCAAGCTGCTTGTCAAGGATTTGGTTAAGGCTGAAATTTGACCCAGAGACATGTGAAGATCTGACTATTCTGGATGAAACACTGAGGTTGCAGGACTGCTGAATTATGTAACTTTCTTTTTTTTTTTTTTTTTTTTTTTTCCTTTCCTGATGCTTTGGTACATTTCAACTAGTCAGCAGGGAAGGACACTCAATACTCTCTCATCGGGGGAGCTTGCTCCTACTTTTCTTGAAACAGATTTGATCAACCAAAAAGGATAGAGAATGTAACACTGTTATGTAACTGCTAGCCTCGGTGTGTTAGCTGTATGGTTTACATTTTGCATGAAGAAAGTGCTGCTTTTCATATGTTTTTCCATTGGAACTATGGCTAGTGCTTACAAATGGTGTGGGGCTTGCAGCCTGACTGCTGAGCAGATAGCAGCGTTGGCAGTGTGGTCCCTACGGTGTCCCTCTCCCAGAGCATCCTTAGCTGCCCTTGCAAGGAATGCTGCTTTCCAGTCTTTCTCATTTACAAACCTCCTTGCTATGGCTTTGTTGTGCAGAAACTGTTGTGCATCCAGTGGCAGCAGTGCCCAGCCTCACTGGACTCCCCAGCAGTGAGGTAGGTAGGCTCTGAGCTGGGTTACCCCTCCACCAGTGGTCAGGAACCACCACTGCAAGTTTATGCCTCTTTCCCCTTCCTTCCCCTTTTGTCCGCCCATCAAGAAGGAAAAACTCTGTCCATGAAGCATAGGGGCACCTCCTAATCAGAAAATCTTGTCTATAGAAATGTTTATGGGTTGAAGCTAGGAAAAAGTGTTTATGGAGACTGTCCTGCTAGCTTGCAGTGAGGGCAGGACCAAACAACTGAGGAAGCAGGGGAAAGAGAGAAAGGGAAAAAGCAGCTGTATCTTAAGCCACTAGAATAATTTTTCCTTTGAATTTTTTTCTGTGGTCTTAAATACCTGGTGAGTCATTTCATCGCCATGTGTCTGTTTCTCTATCTTCAAATAAAGGATAATCTGTACCTTTCTGTATTTAGCCAGTTGGGCGGTTGGGGCTTACTTCATTAGTGTTCGCAAAGAACTTTTAATACCAAAATGCCAAGTTTAAGCACTGGCTAAGACCTTATTTTTGACTGATTTCCCAACAAGAACTCAGACTATTTTTTTCTTGGTTTGTTCACACATATATGTATTCTACTAGAAAGTAACTTCTAGATTAAAGGTACAAAACTGCTGAAGCCCAGTGAATGAGGTGGAAGATGTGGATCAGGCTCAGTAGTGACAGCTTCTGATGTGTCTGGAGGGAATTTCTTGGGTGCTTGCAGATTGAATTGTGCTTGCTTTATGTCCTTAGATGGCAAAAAAAATCTTTGGAATTTAGCTTATAGAATAACTTATAGAATAGATACATAGATTTTTGGAGATAAAGTTTTGCTATAAATGTGCTGGTTTGGGATGTATTCAGAAGGGCAACTCTGTAGGCCAACAAATATGAAAGGGGGGGGGTGTTCTGCTAAAGGTAGGAAGACAACATCATTGCACATGGATGTGCATGTGACCTTCCTAATCTTCCTTCAAGCATGTGGAAATCTAAGGAGTGTGGAAATCACTGTGTCAATTCTAAAATTTAAATAACTCAGGGTGAGGAAATTCATGATTCATTAATTGGCTAAGGGAGCCTGAACCTATGACAGTTATGTAAATAAAGGTCCTGAGATTTTGGCAGCTTATTTTATGTCCTTGTTGGAAGTAACTGATTTTGGCTAGGGAGAAGTGGCTCAGGGATGGATGAACCCTCATCATGCAAGTGCAGGAGCAGCAGTTCCTGTGCTCCTTCAGAAGTCAAGGTTGGAGGATCCTGCCCCTTGGATTCCAGTCATCTTCAAAGGGTTCTCTTCCCCATGTAAAGGAGTCTGTGATCAGACCACTGTTTTTTCTTATTTGTAAGGCTTT